GTCGACAGCCTTCTCGTGGTATTTTGTTATGCCATTTCTGACGTCATGAGATCACAGGACAAGGGTTCAGTCCAATGCCTCTCATTTAGAAATATTGCGGACCTTAGGCACAAGAGCAGTTCTCACTGCCATCTACCAATGGAATTCCCCTCATAGATAATCATTGAAAGCTATGATTCTCTAAGAAGCCATGAATGACAATGCGCATGCGTAGGCGACGACGTCGTAGTAGGAATGGGTATGAGAGACTGATAGTAACAGTCACAGCTCTCCCATTCAGAGTGCTTGGCGGCATGGCTTGAAGCCATGCTTTCAAGCCCTTTAAACAATAGATATACATGGTGTTCGACTACAGGAGACTTGGGGACAAATTAAGGAATTATAACAATGTTGTTAAGAGGGAGTTAACCATTTATAAAATGTATTACTTGATGCTGTAAAGATGCATGCTAATACACTGCTTACCCAAATCAAACACCACATTTTTAAAACAAATAGTTTTTGTAAACAAATTGTAGCGATTTAGGTACGTGATGGTTGAGCCTCAAACACATAATGTTTGTATACTGCACATGTCATGATGCTCAGGGTAAGAAATAGCGCTTACAAACATCTGTGATGCCACAGTTATGTAAGGAATAATTGACGACAGGCCATTGAATTATTAGAAAAATAATGCACACCCGAGGTGGTAATGCAGTGTGCATTGTTTTTTTCTAATAATTCAACGACCTGGAGTCAATTATCCCGCTTATACAACAGTTAACACACCTCGAAACATTGTTCATATGATGTATTTCAAGACGTTTGTCAAGTGCTTGTCATTAAAACACTCTTGTATGTAGGACTAATTTCTTACGCAACTGTAATGCGGTCAAGACCTGTCTGGAACTACTTTAGCCGTAAGTCTCCCTGAAAATAATGCACACCTTAGAACGTTCATCAACCAATCAGATTGAAGCATTCAACGGCCCTGTAGTATAAGTGTGATTAATATCTGTAATGTTAAGTCAGTCAGTGGTTAACCAACCTAAATTGCAGAGTCTC